CTGATCAAAGGCTGTAATTAATTAATTATAAAGGCAAAATCTATCACTGAAATGTGTAGGTTCAGAGAAAAAGCAAAAACATGGGGCTTTTTGCCAGTCTGGTGAAAAATGGCTAAGTTTTGTAGTAGAGCTGCAACCCATTCACCACTGGAAAACACTTTCATTTCAACAGGAAGAAAGCTTCTACTACTTTGGAGACTTGTAATTGTAAACTTAGCTTTTGCTGCCAGAACTGAACAACTTAATTTGCAAGTCAATCCCTGATTTACACTATTTTTAACATCTTTTAGACAGAAAAACACAGGCTCTTGGTTGATGCTTGAAAAGCATCAAGTCTCTTTAGAGAGGTTTTTGAGAGTAAAGGAAAGGAACTGAAGTGTCACAAAATGTGAAGATGAAAGCAGAATAAGGCAAAACTGGCTAACTGCACTTAACTGAAACAAAGCAAATGGGATGTTTAATGACATGCAAGCCAACCTTTTAGGCAAGAAGTCATGGGTACATTTTTACTGTTCCCTGCATCAACAGTCTTGAGTTTGCTGCTCTTCAAAAAAAAAAAAAGTTAGAACAAAGAGTCACATGCATAAACAGAGAACATCATTATAATCTTTGCTATTCTGAAAACTGTTTTCAAGTTTCCTTCTGCCAAAGCAAACAGTAAGCATCAGGACCACATTTATAGCCTTGGAGAGCCTGTAAGCAGAAAGAAAGGACTAGAGTGAGGTATAAACCAAGATAAAACTTTCTGCTCTATTCCAGCTTGGAATGCATAGCACAATGTAACTGTATTCCTGAAACGTTAGCATAAATAAGTCTGTATGCGTACATTTTGTGACAGATGCTGTCACAAGAATAACTGAACACGAAACCACCACACTCTACCAGAACCTATGTTGTAGTCCAGAAACAGTCTTGAACTAACTCACTTTGCTTCTAACAATCATTTGCAGAGTTGTGAGCCTTTATCTCCACAAATCTGCAAAAAGAAAGCACTCTCATTATCATGGGGGTGGAGTATTTCCAATAACACTACTTTTTCATCCAGTGGGAAAGAATTTCTGCATAACTGAGGGCAACAATTTTGGCAGAGGGATGATTTTTGTAGCAAGACAGAAGCTCAAAAGTAGATAAAAAAATCCAAAGACTTCAGTTTATAGTCTGAAGCCCTACAGGAGGACAGCAGGTCTCATGCTGCACAGTACAGCAAACTGATTCTCATTTTACAGATTTGAATAAGCGGTAATGGACAACTATCTGGCAAGTCACATGGGAAGCCATTTAATAACTATGACTATGATTGCCACGAACTATTTTAGAGGTCACCTACACCAAGATCTTCTGTATCTTGAATATTACTCAAGAAAGCAGCATGTTGAAGGTCGGTAATCCATACCTTGGCATGACTAGCAAGCACAGGAAAAAAAAGGTTCTACCACATTGATTTCTACAGTGCAAGCTACCTTTAAACAAAAAGATGCCACATTTAGAGGCTACAGGTGCTTTTTGTTGTTATTTCAGACAGAAAGCGAAGTCAGTCAGAAAAGGAGACACTGCTACATGAAAGCAGTAAGAAGACCACCAAACATGCTAGTCTTTACACATACTGCTCTATGCCTATGGCTGCCATTAAAATTTATCTGAAAGCTTAACAAATAAGACATCTGATCTTACATAACAGTCGAAAGACTATCTTATCTTCCTCTTACAGCTTTGGCAATACACCTTACCTACCTCATTCTGCCGAAACTTTTTTCCTACTGTATTTTTAAACAAACCCAAACACATGCATCAAGGCTAACACTGGAACTTATTTGTCCTTAAAGCATATCAAGGTTGAATTCCAAATTAAATTCTCTGCTGGTCAAAGGCAGACTTAAGAAAGAACGAAGCTTAAAAAGATACCATTTCAAGCACTACATTTCAACAATATGTAGCACTGCTACTCCAAATGAGAATTCATACATGTTGAGTAAGAGGGATGTTATCCATACCACCATTTGGATATGCCAAATTTGCTTAAGTTAGATGGTTTTCACTCAAAACAATACAAAAGTTGATCGGAAAGAAATCCCCCCCACAATCTTCAAGTAAGAAAACAAACATGTAAGACATGGTCCAAGAAGTTCTCATTACGTTTACTTTGGGCTATAATAGAGAGCCCAACCTTAACCTAAGAAGGAACAGCCAAATGTAACATTATACTTTGTCGTGGTTTAACTCCAGCCAGCAACTAAGCACCACACAGCCAATCGCTCACTCCCCCCCACCCAGTGGGATGGGGGAAAGAATCGGGGGAAAAAAAAAGTAAAACTCATGGGTTGAGATAAGAATAGTTTAACAGGACAGAAACGAAGAAAATAATAATAATAATGATAATAACAACAATAATAAAATGACAGCAACAATAATAATAATAGAAATGGAATATACAAAACAAGTGATGCACAATACAATTGCTCACCACTCACCGACCAATGCCCAGTCAGTTCCTGAGCAGCAATCCGCCCCCAAGGCCAGGTCCCTCCAGTTTATATACTGGACATTACATCACATCATACAGAATATCCCTTTGGCCAGTTTGGGTCAGCTGCCCTGGCTGTGTCCCCTCCCAATTTCTTGTGCCCCTCCAGCCTTCTTGCCGGCCAGGCATGAGAAGCTGAAAAATCCTTGACTTAGTATAAACACTACTTGCAACAACTGAAAACATCAGTGTGTTACCAACATTTTTCTCATCCTAAATCCAAAACATGACTATACCAGCTACTAGAAAGAAAATTAACAATATCCCAGACAGAATCAGGACATAGTTATCCATAAGTATTTAAGAAAATGCCCACCTTAATTTATAAGAATTCTTTCTTAATCCATTTTTTGAGAATTTAGGAATAATAAGTTTCTATGTGTGCTAGTACTCGTTTTAACACAGAAGTCCGAAGTCACGTAGGCAAGCCAATACTTACATTTCTGGTTTCTACTGAACTCTTTAATTGCACCACTCAAGACAGAATGCATTATTAGCATTTCATATCCACTGGAATTTTAAAAAGCAGCCTTTCAACCAATTATTTTAAAAAATTCTCAAAAAAGACTTAGAGTCACATTTATAATAAAGGCATTCTCAAGCTATCTAACAGGTTTGATTTTTTTTAGCTTGCGTCCTTTGTGCCAAGCATTTGAAATATATATGCTAGTCTGGTTAGTCACTTAAGTTTGGTCATAACTGCTTTTTACAAAAAAAAATACAAATAAAAATCCTTTCATTTTCCAAACAGGTATGAAGTAATTTGCAGTTTATCATTATTTTTTTCCCCAAGAACACAGAGAACGTTTACTGCCTTAACTTCTAACATGCTACCTTAAAAAGAGTGATGCAAAAACTTTTACTAACTTTGTCTTTAGTCTACACAAAAAAATAGCCAACAAAAGCAACTAAAAGCAAATAATTTTCTTTTTACTAACATGTCCACGTGCAGGCTAAGATTTAGCTTTCTTAAATATATCACAATAAGCCAAGAAAATACTACAGAAGTCACCAGAATTCACACTAACACAGCCTACAGAAAAAGAAGAAAGAAGATCAAACGTCCTGTTTGTTTACAAGCTAAGCCCTCACGCAGGTCTAAAAGTCTAGCCACAGGCATTAAGTTTGAAATCACACAAGTGTGTGTTTGCAGCATGCCGGATCTTAACAGCAAAAGAGAAAATTGCATTAAAAAGACTGGTATAGAACTGGCATTTAATTTAGATGTAAAGAATTTTGTTCAGTTTTTGCATCCTTTCTGAGATTGCAGCGCGAACAGTATGTTAAGTTGTGCTTGGACACTTCAGAAGATCAATCGTGTTTGGCATTAACAGCACAGTTAATCAGCTTACATCACATTTAAAGCTTGTGACAGCTTCTGTAAATATTTTTTCCCTGTTTGACATACGGAGGCCCCAGCATATCACCAGATCCTGTTGCTACACAGATTATCCAGTCATGCAGCAAAGACACATCAGATATCCCTGGATGATAGTGCAGGTTGATTAAAAGTTATGGCTCTAGTTTTTTCCTCTTTTTTTAAAATGTGCAGTACTAATCTTCAAGTTTTATAACATCCTACTGATCCAATCAGCTTCCGAAACGTAGCATGACTATTGCGAATGGTGCCTTTATCACCGGGTTGCGGGGCAGGGAGGGGAGGGACGACCCCTGCTATTCAAACATCCCTCCAACAGCCACGACGCCCTCGTCCGCCGTCTCCGTTTCGACACGGAGTAAGCCCCGACAGCCCAGAAGCGCTAAGGCTTCACTGCGGGCACAGCGCACTAAGCGCCCGGGGCGCTCGCCGCCGCCCGAGCACTGCCCAGGAGCTCGCCTCGCCTCGCCTCCGTCCCCCGCAAGGGTTAAATCCGCTGACGCCGCAGCCTAGGGGAGGAGCCGGGGCACAGAAAGGGAGAGAAAAATGGAGAAATCAAGGAGGGAGCTGCCCGGGGACTCACCTGCAGCGCCTGCCACCTGCGCCGCCCCTCTCCACAAGCGGCTGAAGGAAGCGGGGTGCCGCCCGGAGAGCCCAGCGCTCCCCGAGGAACGGCCGCGCCGGAACAGGAGCAGGGAATTTAACAACAATCACGATAATAACTAAAATTAAAAAAGCCCAGAAACCGCCTCCACCCTGCCGGCCCCGCGCGGTGCCGGGTAAGGGCCAGCCCCAGCGCGGAAGCTCTGCCGGGGCAGGGCAGGGCAGGGCAGGGCAGGAAGGAGCCCTTCCCGGGGACCGACTCGGCGCCAGGGGAACGCGCCGAGCGTCCTTCCCTCTCCGGCGAGGAGGGAGGTTTCCTCCCGAGGTGGGAGAGGGAAGGGGCCGGGGGGAGGAGAGGGGTCCCCCCCGCCGGAGTGCCGGCTTCGTGCCGCGCCCCGAGGAGGGGGCGGTGGAAGGCGGACGAGGCGCCAGGTCCAGCGCCCGCTCCCCGCCTGTCAGGCGCCCTCCCTGCCTCCCTTCCTTCCCGCGGCCGCTCACCTGCCGCCGGCTCGCCCCGCCGACAGCCGCCACCGGGCGCCCCTCGTCCGCCCCAAGGGTGGCGGCGCTCCCGGCCTGGAGCTTTTCTCCGCGCCCGCCGCCTCCTCAGGAGCCACCGGACCCGCCGCCGCTCCTGTCTGGGGACGACGCGGCCACCATGTTACTTTCTCCCCCGCAAACGCCTACAGGCGGGTCCAGGGCCCGCCCCGAAAGGAGGCGGTGGCGGGGCAGGCGAGCGGGCGCGCAGCGCGCCCGGAGTCGCTGCTGCGGCCTGGGGGCGCCC